TATGTAGCCATATCTCGTGTGTGTAGTTTTTTATTTGTCCTCAGCTGGGAGTAATAGTTTATATTATAGATTAAAACTAATTGAATTGAAAGTTAATGACATTTATTGTAATAGTAGTTTTAGGAAATAGTTTAAAATCGGGATATAATAATATGCTATCGGTGATGAACCCTGTATTTGCTTTATAATAAAAAAAAGAACCATAAAATATTAATTTATTGTGTGTAAAGATGTTTTAAAACCATTTAGGTCCATTGAAACCTAATATGTAACCTTCATTTTATAAAATTGGTTTCTGTTCCAAGTACATTTATATTTAGGCCTATACAATTTTCAGTGTTTTAACTTGAATTTGTGTACCGGTTCTTTACAACCACCTCGACCCGTATATTAGATATGACATGAAAAAGAATTGATTTGACTTATCGTATATATGCTAAAAATAAACCAGAATATACTAACCATATAACTATTTGGGTCGAGATACTGTAGTTGAAATGAACCTAAAGAATGTTTAGAGAACACTCTATGTAAACTATTATCTGTTAAATATTCTTCTGCTTTGTAAAATATAGCACATAATATTAATTGCAGTTTTGACCGTGCTTGCATGGAAATGAAGAATAAAACAGTTGATAAAAAATGTATGTTATTTTAAAACGATCCACTTGAAAAGCAAAACTAAACAAGTAACACACATGTACATGTGTATTGACTATGTAAAAATGTCTCTCTCAGTATAAAACAATAACACTTAAAACTATGTAGAATTATACTTGGGAATCACGCATCTGTATTATTCTGAAAATATTATTATTCCAGTCAGCTTGTGATTGTAAAGCAGTGTAATATACTGTTAGTGTTCAAGTGTGGGACCGGAATGGTAACTGCAGCATATGATCACCTTGTAACATGTGGTGACTGTAACATTTGTAACATTGGTCCTTGGTGTAACCAACTGTTGTAACACTCACAGGACGTTAAGTACTGATGAAGATTTGGGAAAATATCAAAGACGCGGGATTTAGTAGGATGACATTTAAGTTTTAATTGAGCGAAGCGCGGATCCTTGCGATGTTCAGCCAAACTTAGGCTACCAAGGTTGTTTGGACAAACAGTGAAAGGTTTTATGAGGAAACAGATTTACAATTTTAACCTTACTTAAAAGGTCAGAATTGTTAACATAAGGCGTATGGGTTAACACGATTGCTACAAAATAACAACATACAGGTAAACAAAGAATCATAGCATATGTTTACAAGGAAGCAAATTACACAATTAATACAGTAAGAAGGAAATTCGGGCGAAGACCATTGTTCAAAGAATTCACAGAAGGTATTGCAGGACATTTGTAAACTACCACTGATCAAACAGGTACAGTATTTTACTGATCTTCTTTGTGTGATTTAAATTAGAACTAATATTTTTAACTATTAGAAGCAGTTTGTTGTTTTAATGTGTGCTGAAAATAGTTTATTATAGTTTATATAGTATAGTTTATTAGTTTAAAAGTATGATGGAACTTTAAAAAAATTGGTAATGACTGTGGCATGAATATTTAATATTACTTTCCGTTATTCTGGATATTGAAACAATATTAAACAAGCCTACTCAGTAAACAGAGCCTACACCACACAGTAAATACAGTATTTAAAAAATAAAACAGGAAAGTTGTAGCTTTCCTGAACAGAATCACTGAACTGTAAAAAAATAAACTCTAGATTTGTTTGGAATAAAATACAACAAATAAATATCAAAATTGATAGTTTATTTTCCTTTTAGTTAAAACTCAAATATTTAGATATTTACTTACGGATCGTAAATTAAATGATCTGTTAAGGCCATTTATGCCATTCTATTGCTAGAAAGCCACATATAATTGTCAAACGAATCATTTTGTGGTAAACAGTAGGCTCAAAAGTAGTCCACTGAAAAGTACTAAATTTCTTTGTTCTATTACAGTGAAATGAATCCAACGCTTAAACGATAGGGGTTTTATGGACTTCGTTAATACCAATATATGGACGGAGGCCGCTCTTTTCATCGGTTTGGCAAATGTGAAAGTCTTTGTTCACTCTTTTATATCAATGTGGCAAACAAAGAAAAATCACAATGGTACTATTAGGTAGGCTAATTGATAGAAAATGTGAGTATACAGATCATTGCAGCCTAAATGAAACATACAAATCAAGGTAATATTACCGTTAATATTAGTTTTAAAGTAGCTATCTATATATTAAAACTATCAGCTAATGGAAAGCTCTACAGTAAATTGCAATCTCTATTTTTTTTTTTCAGTACACCAGCATACTGTTAGCGAATTTCCCATATTAGCTATTACCGTATTACTCATGGTAAGACCTGAACCCGGGACCGATTGACTTTTTCGTTTTGAGGTCCCTAGAAGCCAAAATCACCATCTGTTCAAATGCATATATGTATGAGTGTGGGCGTTATCACGATAACTCGAGCAAAAATGATCCGATTTTAACCAAATTTGGTATAAACGTGTAAATTTACATTTATTTGAACCAGTTCGCGAACCAGAATGATTGGGTTATGGGAGGGGGTTTATGGGGGGTTTTATGGGGTAAAAATTGGTTTTCCCACTTTGACCCAAAAAACATAAAATTTAACAATTTCTTTCCAAATCATTTTGCAGAGCTTAAAAAAACAAATAATGTAGTATATTGCAAAAAATTGTAAATTCCCTTAGTGTTAATTCCCATAATATTCTTTTGGAGAATAAGTAAACTGTTGTAGTTTGCTAACATATTTTGATCAAATTCGGAAAATGAAACTAGGTATATTTTTTATGGAGACACATTTGAGTGTAAATACAATTAGGCAAATGGAAATTCGCTTTGTCTGCAGGTTCGCTGTCACGGGGGTATTTTAAATATGTAAGCTAATTTCAAAGGCATGTTCATTATGATGCAGTATAAAAATGGAACTAAATATAAAGTGTAAACATAGCTGAAGGACTCTCCATCAGACACAGTTTTGAAGTGAGGAAAGTTTCAACGTTTCATTGTATTCCAACCAGATGAGTGTGTAGCTTGTATTATAATAGAAAATAAATATCTTTAACCTTGTAGCTACTGAGCCTAACCTCAGAGTAATAAAACAGTTACTCTGAGGCCTAACTGTTAAGTGCTTTACTTTGCACTTAACACGTATAACTATTATATTTTTATGTATTTAATAATGAAGATGTATTGCATATTTATTATATTCCAATTCCATTGAAACACATTGAAAAAAAAAAATCTGATACTTAAATGGACAACGAACGTAAAGATTATTCTAAACGTATTATTATTATTATTATAAACAAATATTTTCAAACGATAACATTTTAACAGTTTTCAAAATAACACATTTTATGGGAGAAAATGATATAAACTACTACAGTAGCTTTTTCTAGTTAATGCAAATTTAACAAGGGATTTTCTTGGGAAAATGAATGCCTGGTAGGTACTTATGAATACCTGAGGGGTTTTAAATAATAAGTTTGGCGTGTTTGCATTTTATATATTATACTATTTATTTTACAACTGTGTAGTAATTTTCTAGCGTAACCAATCAAAAGATGACTTATTAGCAGTGGAAAAACAACGAGTTGAAAGACTTATTGCAAGAGTGATTTAAAATTATGTAATCGATTTGATAAGAGAAAAACTAATCGAATCTCCTCTAATTGGAAAATATTTCTGTTCCATGAATACTGAGAAACAGTTGTTTGTGGAATCCGATCCATTATATAATATTTGATCTGTTGGATAGTAGTCGTAAATTACAAAGTAAAGCAAAAGATATTCTTATTGTTTATTTGTACTAAACTTGGAAATGCAATTGGTAATAAAAGAATGTTTAGTTCAAGTTAGTACAGTAGTCGTGTTTAGGGTTTTGTGTAATTTTAGGGGTTGAATTTTCAAGCTCTGAAGGTGTTTTATCAGATTTAGGGCATATACATTCTAAGTTATATGTTTGTATTGTCTCATCTTGTAGCACCTATTTATTCTCATGATGTTTATTGTATCCTTCACATATTAAAAATAACGTTGATTACGAGACATCACACAAAATAATGTTGAAATTAAAAATGTTGGTAAAAGTTACAAAACAAATTTTTTTCAATTGTCAAAATGGTGTTGTCTAGCGTATAATTTATTGCCCTACTCTCTTATGAAATGCAATTTCTCAGTTAAAGACTAAGGAAGACTAAAACATATGAAGATTCTTTTGCATTTTAAGAAAAGTATTTCCCAGTAGAAGTTTTACCAGGTAATAACCTTTTAACTCTTGACGTATTCGCAAATGGTGATGACACTTTTAATATTATTTTTTGTTAGAAATAAATTAACAAAATAATCCGACAACTTTAGCCTATGCTGAAAAAGATAAACCGGTGCTTATAATAAAAAATAAAAATAAAATAAGTATATACGATGTACAATATAATACAAGTAAGCACATTTTAAACAAAAAGTGCCGAAAATCTATGATTTAAATTGAATAATCATAAATAAACAAACAGTTATTCTTGTGTCGGAATAATTTTGTTCAGTATTAAAATAAAATGACTGTTTTAAGCAATCTAGAATTATAATATTATAGCCAATCGAGCAGCGTGGACATATAGATAAATTTGTATAGAACTTAAATAAGCAAATATATAACTTTATATTGCATATAAGTCAAGATTACATGGGAAACCTTGACGTTATGAATCTGGTGACTATTTTTGTAGTTTGCGGAATCACCACCAGGTATACATGAATTTCCTTTCTCCCTACAGAGGGGAAATATATACTATTTAGTACCCTACTATATAGTACCATAAATAGCATCCTCATCATGTTCATTATGCTTATCATGTGTGTGTGTGTCATAACTAAACTATTGGGCGTTTCATGGATGATTAAGGTGGGTGATTAGGGATAACAAAAACTTAAACCATTCAATCTGATGATTAAGGGTAAACAATAAAGAGCTCATCTGTTGAGACATATCTGATTAACAAACTAAACTATCAACACTTTTGGTTATAATGTATATGTGGGGATCTTCACCTTAACACCACCTGTCAAATCTTTGGCATATCTTTGGACTTCCTTTTCCCACCGCGGTTCAATAGAAAAATCTGGAAGTTTTCGTCCTTTCAAAGGTAATCTTTGTATGTCAACCTGATATTTGGCCAGCTCGTCAAGCAATGTTTTGCTCATCATAGCTTGCACTTCTGCTGGAGAATATTTCCTGCCTGAGTTTTTAGCTATTTTAAGAGTGCGTTTCAATTTGGTTACCATGCTTTCCGTGATCTTACGGTATATCCTGTTTTGCTCCTAGAACAGTATCACATAAAGGATTATAGAACTGATTGATCAATGTAGTGACTTATCAATGGCACTAAAAGTACAAGACGAACTAGTTGGAAGGAAGAAGGATTATTGTGGCATGTAAGATAACACATGTTACTAACTAAAATCTTAGTCAGATTATTGAACTTTCGATTTGGAACTTTGATCTTTGGACTTAGTCAAATAGGTAGTTCAAGTAAAAAAATAGCCAAAGTTATAATAACATTCAAAACACCTTTGCGGTAGTTTCACATATTACTATATACTGTCATAGCAAAAAAATAATATTCCTATTCTTAAAACTACCAATTAGAAATAATAGCTTAGTTAAATTTTGGTTTTAAAGGCTTATAAAGTGTCAAATGACGAAATACTTCTAAGCGAATCCAATTACTGAATCTAACTCAGTTATTTTATTTTGTATTGATTAACATAAATCTAACATTAATAAAGAAAGTCGTTGTTGTAAAATTCTAACAATTAATGCAGCTCTGAGTAGACTTCTTGCGAAGCTAAGCTGATATACATTTCATGACACTGAATCAGTTATACTAAAGGCAAAATTTGTATTGTACTGTCCAAGACTATTCCAAGTTAAGGCATCTGTGTAACACACTAAAACAGGTTATTAATAGTTATTTCAGATTTTTCATTACTGTTAGTACGACTGTTCTAAATAAATAATATTTTGTATTAAAATATAATTTATGTGAGTTTAAGGATTTAAATATTATTTACTGTAATTTTCTAGCAGCCCAAGTTTAATTAAACTTCAACTTACTCCTCATTTTGAGGGCTTACATTTTAAACACAATAATATCATGATTTGGTTATTTTAAAAACAATTTTACTCACAATAGTTAGAATAAAAAAGGTATCACTAAAGTGAGAAAAATAATATAACAAATAATATTTGATTATTATGAATTACGTTATACGATAATGTATACAAAATGTATATTGTTATTGTGTTGTTGCCTAAAAATAGGATTGAGATATGTTTCTTACAGTATTTTACGTGTTGCGACCTATACATGCGATAGCAAACAAAATTACATTATTTCACATGATGACTGTTTGGTATTGTATTACGTTTCTAAAAGTATAAATAAAATATAAATGTTCATTAGTAAAAAAGTGCTTGTAATCTAAGTTTACAATACCACCTTATTATTTTATAATTATATTGTTTTTTATTGCATTTGTGTAAACAAATTAACAATCATCACACAAGAGGAAACAGTTTAAATTACATTGAATAATGGTTCTCAAGTGAAAGTGCAAACGTGCATAATTGTGGCTAATCTTGAGAATTAATCGGAGGACGTCAGGTTGCAGAGATACTTAAAAACAAATTAGAACATGATGGCATTTATATTTAGAATAATCTCACAAGTTATTCTCTGTAAAAATGAAATAATCGAGGTTTATTGTTCTATGGGCATTTTATTACAAAATATTTTTGGTTGAAGTCCAATTTTGAGAATGGAGGATGGAGAAAAATTCATAATAGGGAGATAAACAATCTGTAAAAAGATTATGATGTAGTGGCACAAGCCAAAGCAAAGAAAATAAGGTGTGCAGGACACGCACTACGGAGAGAAACGGGTTCACTATTAAAATTAATAATATAGGAAAACCAGAAGGAAACCGACCATTAGGAATGCTCAAGAAGAGATGGTGGGATAGTGTCTCCATGGATATCATAGAAGTGAGGCAGAAGAGGAAGAGGCAGCAGGTAGAGAGAGATGGAGAGCAGCTTTTGGTGCGGCCAAATCCCACTATAAATGGATATAAATGGCTATGTGAGTGAAAGAGTGAGTGAACAAAGATTAAATTAATGATAGTTTACTTACTGATCTGGTAAGCGGGCGAGCGACCACGCTGGCGATAATAATAAGAGTGATAGTTACACATAGGAGCTTTATCATTGTACCTTGAACACATTTAACAGATAGTTAATTATAATAAACTAAGCGGCACACACTTAGAATTTAACTTATGGACATGAGATATATTAAGAATATATTACATAAAGTAATGTATTTAGATAAATGTGAAAAAATTAAAAATTAATAAGTTATGTGCGCTTAAGTTATGATTATTTGAAAAGATTATACGTATTATCCAGCGTGTCATTTCGATTATTTTAGACTTTCAGTGTTAATAATTGTAGTTCATAACATTATGGACGTACTTTTTCGTCAAATATTTACTAAATAATCGTTCAGCGTATTCAATATCACTCCTAAAATGAAATTCTGGAAATAATATCTGTAGAAGAAAGTCATTTTTCACTTTATATTATTTAGTTATGATGTAAAATCTATGGTTAGGAACCTAATAACCTATATTTCGTTGGTGAATTTATAGAAATCTTTAATTGTATAATAGTTTTAGACGTTTAAACCACTATAAAAGTTACGACTAAATATACTAAGTAAAAAGTATCATACCTCCGGTATCGTTCGAAAGTAACTTACACTATACACTTAGATAAAACATTGACTATCTCTCAATTTAACGACTTCAATTATTTTCCATTGGACTAGAACCGATTGAATCGCTTAACTGTTAAGGTGAATGCCAATCTGAGAAAGTTATGCTTCAAAGTACAGTTATGTTAGACATAATCTGGATCGAATATTGAAGCGTGTTGCTATTATAATAAAATATATAAAATTGCTAGATCTTTCAATTGGTAAAATAATAAAAGGGATTGTAAATCTCAATTTGAATATATGTCTTTGCATTTGTGTATGTTTCATAAATATTTTGTTGATTTGAAAATGTAGTTTTTGTCTTGATATTGAATATTTTGGTGGTTTGAGCAACTCTTATCGACTCATCAGTCTTTTGAACTTGCTTTCTACAACTAGTTTTGCATAGTTTAGGTGATAGTCGCTTTGTTAGACATTGTTACAAAATGAAATCGTAGGCTTATTAAAGTGAATTAATAAAAGGAATATGTTCATTAAATATTGTGATTTCACAGAATGGAAGATACCTTAACATCCGTCGAGTAAAGCATTTTCGTTTAAGAAGATAGTTACAAAATATTAACTTAATCACTCACTAAAAATATTTGTGTTGGTGCTTAGTAAGTCGTATTTAAAACTACATAGTGTGCAATACGCTGATCAGAGAGACCAGACTGTTTAAACTAGTTGCATAGTATAGTTTATTCGTATGTATTATTAAGGAAGAAATATATTAACAACAAGCATGGTCTACTAGCACAATACTTGGCCTAATGCCAGATCAAAACGGAACTTCGAAACAAGTTTTAGTGGTTTTGAACTGAGGTCCAATGTAGTTTTGGATTAATATGCATACATTTATTACTGAATGCAACGTTTTTATGATGGCAACCTCATTTTTATGACTAGCTAGTATATTATACTGCATCCTCATAATTTATTCCTTGCGTATATTCTACGAAACATTTGTTACATTTATGTTTATTAAACTTGTTACATATGATACAAAAGTTGATCAACTTTGGAAAAAATACACTGCTAAAATTAATATAAAACGGATTAAGATTGTGCTAAAGAATCAACACTTTTCTAAAGTTAAAGATTGTTAAGCAACATAATTATTTTCAGAGTATATTTTACTGTTTTTATTAAACCTCTTCTATTTTTCACTAATTGTAAAAAATGTTAACTCAAGTAGTCTCAAGCAAATAGATTTAATTGTGTTCGACTAAAATAGCTACCATATTCAACGTCTCCAGTTCAGTTGTTGATGTAACGTCCATTTCACGTTTCATCTGAGTGGAAATTTTAATTTGGTTCAATATAAGTGGATTAGGTCCATCACCGACTCGTCAAAACTTCACATTCAAACTACTTTACATTCATTCATACGTATGGCACAATTCATGTAGCTTGTTGTAAATTACGTATTATAAAAGTTAATTGGTATAAATCAATAAATAAAACATATCTGCCCTAAATATACGCAAGTTTTTAAAATTTAGTTTTTTTTAGATCTATGGGTCTATATACCAATTCCCCCTCAAATTTCCACAACCTTATTTTCACTGCGAATCAGACCATTTAATGTTAACTGTAAAAGCGATTGTATTTATAGAAACAGCATTTGTGTTGTTGTTCAATAAAATGTTGTGGGACGTATTTTACTAAGAATAAAATCTTTTTGTATTTCCAACTCTTACAAACCAATCAAACATTATTTTACTTTTATAAAATTCTCATTAAAATCAAACAAGCCAAGCCAGGCGTCAGTAAACGGTGTCAGTTTCTGCTTGCTCGTTGCAGCTGTTTGGGAAAGCAAACCTTACCTTCATTAAGGGTTGTTTGGATAAAACTAACGGCACTTTGTTAACTTTCTAGCACCTATTGTGTGTCTTAGTTACTTTAAATGTTCTGAAAACAATATTTCTATAGTATCTGGCTAGATTATAAAACAACCCAGGTATATTTTTTAAGTTTCTCAATTTGATAGTAGGGTTAAGTAATTTATTATTTCTATTCCCTTTGATTTATCTTGTAGTATCCGATTGGTTATAGTGACCCCCTTTATACCCGAAGGCTGCTATATAGATGAACAAAAAAAAGAGAAAAATCTTATAAATAAGTTTTCATGTAGAAGCAATGTATGTGAAGGACACGTTTTCTATATAAATAAAACATTCATAAATATAAAACCTGTCATCTCTATAATTTAGTTTTAAGTTATATAGAACTCACATTTTTTTCATTTGACCAAAAGACGAAGTTTGCAAACACACAACTAAATCAGACGATAGCAAACATAAAATCAAATAAATTAAATATATAGCATTCAATCAAGTTGCTGAACATTAAATCCAGAAAAAGGCAATAAAATAGAAACCAAGACCTCAAGTTTGGGTGTTATTACAAACATCAATTTTGGCCATTCTAGTTGACATGAGAAGAGCCCTAAAGGGAGCAATGACTGTGGGAGAAGGCCACATGAAAATGGCACCCAGAACTGCCATTAGAATATAATTAAGTCACTTTTCACCCCATAACATTCTTATTAATGTTCGTATTATACTTGAAGAAAAAAATCTTCCACTTTATATTATTACTCGTATATATAAAGTGACTTATGTTATGTATATGGTTGTATTTGTTATATATAATACGACGAGTAGTTGGCCATTGTTTGGATTAAAAATTAGTGTTACGTATTGTACTTTTGATAATATATTTTAAAATATTTACGTTTGTTACTTACTCACACCAGAGCGGCGGATAGGAATGGATTACAGTTTAAAAGGTATATTGGTTTAAGTCTGCATAAGACATTATATTTTTGGAATATCGACATTTTTATCAATGGTTTTCACCCTACACCTTCAAATTTACTATAATTAGTTTTTTTGGATGCCAATGACTTCATGTTAACATTAACTAATCGTTAACTTTATTTAACACATTAACAACCAAGGCACCTCTACCCTCAGGTACAGTTAAGTGGCATGTCCGGCAGGAAACGTGTTGGGAAGTAACTTGAGTATCAGTGGTAATAGTAAAATACTCTAATATTTATTTTATAATTACTTATTAGATATGTTATGTGCTATGTGCATGTTTAAACTAATCTGGCATTGTTTAACTATGGATGTATGGATTGTTTAACTAAATAAGCTAAGAAATTTCATATCCAACACACATATAATATCTAACTACAATACATATGCGTCTTTAAAATCTATTTTCGAAGAACCACTTATTTAATGGAAATGCAAGTCTTTTATTTCCATAAAGACTTTATATTTTTAATAAAATACAACGTCAATAGATGTAGCACAATTAAAAACAATGAATGATAACGCTATTAAAATATTCGTAGTAGCGTATTATATCATTAAAATATTCTACGAATATGCTTTCAGAACAAATTGGCAAAACGAATCTGTATTTCATATTTATAGAGCAACTTATAATTAACTTATATTATTTATAAGACAAATTATATCTGACAATATATTGCTGATTATTCGTCTTTGATACTATTGAATAAATTTGATTGTAGTTTTAGAACGATACGTGTTAATAAATGACAATTTCATGGGCGTTAAATTAATGCACTACTTCCTGAGGGTGAGGTTCATAATGTCCAAATTTCACAAACTCCAACGTCTAAAATATTAAATAAACAGTGCGTTTCATAACCTCCAAACTTCATAAACTCCAAAACTATAACTTTCAAATAAGCACAGTTTCACAATGTCCAAATTTCACAAACTCCAACTTTTAAATATCAAATAAACAGAGCGGTTCATAACCTCCAAGTTTCATAAGCTCCAACGGTACAGTCTCTGCCATAAGTCAATCGAATTGGCCGGATACCGAGGCGTACGGGCCGAATGAACCTCTCTGTTTTACACAAACATACATTCACTCAACCTGCTCTGCTACACTTATTTGTTAACATACAAATTTCAAATTGATATATTATTTTTCTGGAAAAACCAGTGCTCATTACTATGTAGCTAGTTTTTACCTTAACATAATTTTTATAATTTATTTAGGCAAATTAAAACAGATGATTGTTTTTTAACACCATAAAAAACATGAAAAATGTAGTAAGCGAGGAAATTTTTTATTTTTTGGTCAGGAAAAAAATTTCTGCGGCAAAGTTTTAGATCAAAGTATGAATTTTATTTTTTATTTGAAGCTTTTTTTGATACGGAGCCTGCTTGTATCATTTTTAAGCGATTAAAAATAGGCATAAAATCGCTTGGCGCGGCATTGGCGCTAGGAGTTTGGCCGGCTCAGCATCAGTTTACAGGATATAGAAACTGAGTTTCTAGCATTTAATTATCATTATATTACATCAAATATGTCATTACATTACGAAGAATGGTAACTTAATTTACAGGCGTATGTTTGTGCATTTTAATGCTTACCGGTAGTCTATAGTTAACAAAATTCTTTGATATAAATGCTTCCCCGATTGTAATTTCGGAAATTGTTTTCGTGAAATATGAAAAGGCATATAAAGATGTGGAGATAATTTAAGTTCTTGGTAAAACCCACTGAATTAGCGACCTGGCCCAGTTATTATTTCTACTTTTATACTCCTTTCGTAAAGGTAAACTAAATTAGTGTAAATGCATCCCTTTGACTAAACTTTACCCTAGATTTGGTTCTGGTCATAATAATATAAACAAAAATAGAAACTACTCTTATTCTAAGTTTATGTGGTGGAATTCCTGCTAAAAGTTCGATTGACTTTACATTCTATCGAAATAGGCCTATTTAAAACGTTCAGCGGGTTCATAGTTGAGACCATGGTTGAGACCACATTACAATACCTATTTATTTGCTTCTTCATCCTCTTTAGCCATTTAGTTGTTAGATAGTATTACATGTTATATTCAATGGATTTTATTTTAAAACATTTAACGAGTTTATATTCATCTATATTTGAAAAAGCTAATCAACGGCTCTCGTCTAACATTTTTGCCACTGCAGTGCATGGTTAGGGTTTGATTACCCATTTGTCGAAACTAATCACGAAATTACGTTTCTCCAGCATTGACAAGCATATAAAGAAAAGGAAACTACCTCAAA